GCAGAAAATGCCTGGCAATGCTGTACCATTTCCACAGGTTTCCATGGGGAAACATAAAGTCTGTGCATATATATATTTAAGATTTGAAGGCTTATAGGCTTGTTCCTGTATGTTGCTGAGCACTCTGGCCCAAGTCCAACCAAACACTGAAGCCTGGGCTTTAATTTAAGCGCTTGTGTCTTCCTACTGAAGCCAGTTTGGCTACTGACTTGCTTAACTACTATACATGTCAGCCTACATGCTGTGTTGGATTAGACCAGTATGCTCAGCCCCTTGTGAAACTCAGCCCTTTGGTACTAAGTGGCCAGAAGCACCTTGTGTCTGTGTGCGAGATTTTGTGTGTCTTCGTGTGTATATGTAGAGCATGTGTGTATGTATGGAGGATATGATAGTACATATATAGTGTTTGGTAGTGTTTGCTGATACAAAGCAGGATGGGTGTTTGTGGAGCGGTGTGTAGGGTGAGTGAGTAAAGGTGTTGATGGTGTTGGTAAGGTTGTAGAGAGTAATGTGTGTGAGGATTTGGATGGGTGACTCTATGGAGGGGTCTGAATGTTTGTTTCTAGGGGTAATAGGATGTCATCTTAATATAATGTGTTAGACTAGCAAGCATCTTTACCCTTCTCCATCACTGCTTGCTCCTTGCCTGCCTTATTCTCCACCTCATCCCAAACTAAGGAATTATGATCTATTAATAAGAATGACTAAGCTGAGTGCCTAAGTTGAGGGTCCTGAATCCATTTAGGCACCTAAGATGCAAGGACCTGGCTGTTTCTGAAGAAGATTAGGGGAAAAGCAGATTAAATGCTCACTGGGAGTTCAAAGGAGTAATTCATAGTTTCTGTTTGGACATCCAAATATGGATTTAAGTGTTTAACTCTAGGCAGACGGGCTTGAAAATTGTGACCAGTGTGTGTGTGCATGCTTGTGTTTTGTATATGTTTGTGTTTGCATGAGCATACGCACACGTGCATTCATGAGGGTTGATGAAAGATAATATGATGGGTGCAGCTAAGCACATAAAGCCAGATCCTTATTTCTAAATTTTGTTGTAAATCCTGAAAAAATGTAAACGTCTTCATTCTTTAGTTTTCTAAAAGAACCAATTGTAGACATTTCTTTGACATCTCTAGATTCAAAGCTTTTAAAAGTTGTTTTCAAAATAATTTTTCAGCAGTACTTTTCAAGAGGACTGGGGAAGCAGGGAGAGAAAAAGGGAATTAAAGGAAAAAGAGGGAGGGGAAAACCCATGGGGGAAAAAAAAGGTTTTTTTCCGTTTTTCTCAGAAAGCTGGCAGATTTTTTTTTAAAAACAAAAACGAAGTTGTCCATTAAATTTATGTAGTCATTTAAAAAAAAACCCTTTAAAATACCAATCAGCTCTGGTAGCAAAATGCTCTTTCTAGTGTGTTGATTAATGTTTACACACATTTTTGGTATGGAAGATTATCAGTCCACATGGGTTTTCTTCATGTCAAAGACAGTGCAGTTGCCGCTTTACACTCTCTTAATTGTTTCTACATGCCAGGACATTTGTTGGCGGCATTTCTTCTCCTGGTGATGATGAAATACCCCTTATCCATTTTTAGCTCTATTTGTTGCACCAAAAGAAGAGACTTTTTTTGGTGCTTGTTATTAGCATCCTATGGCCAAACCAGGGATTTATGCTTTCAGGAAAGACAGTAGCTAGTTCTCTTGGTTTTTTGGGGTTTTTTTAATTGTTTTCCTTGGAAATTCCAGAGTTCGTGTTTTGTCTGCTTTCTCCCTGACCCTCTTCGGAGGCAGCTGTGTGTTTTTTCACCAAAAAAACCTGGAAACAAAGAATCGTTGTCTTTAAGCTGTAGCAGGCAGGAAACCCAACTCACAGGGGAGCTCTCAGAGCCAGCGCTGTCCCAGAGCTAGACTCCAGTTCTCTGAATTCAACCTGACAGCTTGTCTGGAGCACTTTCTAAGTAACCATTATCCTTCCTTTTCTCCCAGCAAAAGAGCTATTATTTTTTTGCCTTGGGTGCACTGCATGCAATGTTATTGCACATGTGTGTGGGTTGCCCAGTCGCTGGGATGTGAGCTTTCCCTCGAAAAGCTCTTGGAAGTGGGCAGGCTGTTTCCTAAGACAAGAGCAAATTTGTTTCTTGATAATGAGGCAAATGGGCAAATGTTGTAAAAACAGCATCAGCCGCAGTGTACATGTGTGTATTTGTGGGTTGGTATGTTTCTTTTCCTTTCTCTCTTACATCTGTGTTTGTGTCTGACTTTTTTCGCCGTGGGTGTGCTTGTGTGTCTTTTTTGAGTATGTGTGTGTGTGTGTTTCTATGTATGTATGTCTCTTAGAGACCATGTCCCTCTTTATTTTCTTGTGTGTGTTTCTTGATGCTTGGGAATGTGTATTTCTGAGTGTATTTCTGCTGCATGCTTTTCAGTATATCTGTTTTTTGGTCTGTGCCTCGGCGCATGCGCATGCATGAATGTGTGGCTTTGCACATGCAAATGTTGCTATGTGCACTTGTGTCAGATGGGTGCATGTGCCTGTGTGTTTTGTGTGTTTGTGTATGTATGACAAAAGTCACTCCAGCTCCTGTGAAGCTGAGTTTGGGAGGGATTTTCTTGATATATATTTTAGCCTTCCCCGCAGTCTGTGCAGCAGGGGTTCATTGGCTGATATTAAAGCAACAACACAATCATTTTTCGGTGCTTCCCCCTGTTCTTCGTCATGTGTCTCCATAAGCTTTGCGCAGGGTAGTGCAGACATGAATTAGGAAGTTCCACCACAGCAAGGAGCTGCAATGTTTTCCTAGACGAGCTCGCACAACTGGTGGCCGTCGCCTAAGGCCCAAAACAAACAAGGAGTGATTCCAGCTCCGGCAGGCAGGGCCACATCTTGGGGAGCTGGAGCTGAATGAGGGCTGTAGGTTTCCCAGGTGTGGGAGCTCTCATGTAACACCCAGAAGAGTCAGCTCCAGACAGGAAGGGGAGCAGAAGTGAATAGGAAAGAGAGACCCACTGCAGAAGGAATGAGACCTGCCCTAAGCATCCTACCCCCTGTAGGCCCTGAACGACCCCTTTCTGAAGATGCTGGATTGTGTTTTCACTTATATGCAACTTCGACTTTCTAGGCTTAACTCAAGCATTCATTTCAGAACTGGATTTGGATTAGGATCCAGACCGTGAATGATTCACAGACTTGGTCTATGTCACCGGCATAAGGCTGCAGGTACAAGGCCACCCCGCAGCAACCTTCACTCCCCTAACTGCGCTGAGATGCTAACAGGAGAGGATGATATCACAGCAGCTAGAGTATGAACTTTGGATCGTGTTTAATTCCCTGCTGTATCAGAGGCATCTGGGCTTCAATGGGAGCTAAAGTCAGTAGGAGTTAGGCACCTAAGTAACTTGAAATATCTGGCCTTCACTTCCACTCTGCATCAGTTCCTCATTTGTAAACTGGGGGTAACAGCACATCAGGGATATTGTGAAGGTAAAGATGTTAAAGATTATGAGATGCTCAGGTGCTATGATTGTGGGACCATATGAGCCTCTAAAATGGATTAACTCTTCAGTTCTCTGATAGTAAGCTAGTAAGCTAGCCACTGCGTCATACTGGACAGAATCAGAAAACTAGGTTTGAGCTCCTGTGTTGATGACTTTAGACGGACATTAGAAAAAATGTTCTTCACGGTCAGGGTTGCCAGGATCTGGAATGGGCTTCCAAGGGAGGTGGTGCTCGCCCCATCCTTGGGGGTCTTCTAGAGGACACTGGACAGGCACCTGGCTGGGTTCACATGACCCGAGGTTTGGTGACCCTTTTCTTGCCTGCCAGGGGCAGGGGATCGGATTAGATGGCCCACTGAGGTTCCTTCTGACCCTAGAACCTATTACTCTAAAAAAAAAAGTAATTTTAGTTGAGCAGACGCAGTTGAAAGTTGGATATCTGAAGGGTGGGGGTCTTTGTTCTGTCCTAGATGGCAGAGGGAAGTCCTAAATGGCCGCGACATGGCAGGTGAGATGACAGTGGCTGTGGATTTAGTGCAGTGCAAAGGCTACATGTCTTTTTATGATAATTATGAGGAGGAGGAGGACAAGGATGACCAACAAGTGTTAGTGTACGTACAGAAGCTGGCAGGTTGTGTCAAGCTATACCTGCTTGCTCCTTGAGTAATTCTTGAGTAATCCTTGTTTTGCAGAGAAGCACAACTGTTTTGATGAATGGGATAGTTCACTCCATTTCCAGCATCCTTGTGTCCCTCACAACTGACACGCATAAAGTTCCCTTCACAGATAGCGATGCAAGTATGCTAACACTTTCCTGAGGTGCCAGATGGCTGTCACTTCTGGAACCAGGTCCTGGGACCTTCTTAGTTTCTCTCTGATGGTGCCACACATTGTCAGCTAGAAGGATGGCCACACTGATAAGTGGCATTGTTCTTGCCTTCTTATTCATGACCATGATGTCTGGGCAGTTGTGTGGCATGGTTAATGCTTGGTTAAATTTAAGGGTCCAGGTCGGGGCAGATCCAGGGGAGGTGCAGTGGCACAACTGTCTCGCCCCCCTCCCCCGCTTTTGGATTGGGCCACACTGCAGGAGTCTCTGGGGACTTTTTAAAGTTCCTAAAGCAGGTGAAAATATTCTCTCCCTTCCTGCTCAAAGAAATGCCCCCTTCCTGCCCCTTCCTCCTGCCTTTTCCCACTGTCCCAAGGGCAGAGAAGCACCAGAGCAATTCCTGCTTGCTGTGCAGGGGCTGGGCTCAGCTGGGGATGGGGACAAGGGCAGCAGGGATGGACAGAGATCCCCCTTCCCCATGCTGTGACCACTCGGAGAGGGGGAAATGCCCAGTCCCCCTGGTGCCACTGTCTATTCCTCAACTGAGCCAAGCGCCTGCTCAACCTGGCTGGCTCTGCAAGTTCCCTGCCCCCCAGTTTCAGAAAATGCAACAGGAACAGGGAGAGGGGATTTCGGGTGGGAAGAGGGAAGGAGGTGGGGCAGGGGCTATTTCTGGGCAGGAAGGGGAAAGAAGAGGATAATGTCACCTGCTTTAGCACTTAAAAACTTCCCCAGAAGCTCCCACAGCATGGTCTGAGCACACCAGTGGGACTGTGAGCCAGGGGTGCAGCCACCCCTGCAGTGCGGGGTGCTGCTTCTGCACCCCCACCCCCTTTGGGAAATACCCAAGTCCAGGCGTTTGGGGAGAGCCCTTACTATGAACAAAATGTTTAACAGAAATTCACGGTGTAGTAATTGGTTATTGACACAATGGATAAAAATCCAGTTAGAAAATTAGAAGTGCGATAGACAGGACAGGGCCAGATTGCCAAGAACTCAGTTTGTACAGGTAGAGAAAACATGCAGGTCCCATCTAGGCACTTCACATGGGCCAGATTTTCAAAACTAGCCCAAAGATCAGTCTACACCAGTTGGCCGAGTCCTTCTGGACACCAGGCCCTTCCTAAATCAGCCTCTGAAGAACAAAATGAGAGGAATAAAGAGGGCTAAGTGTGAGTGGAAAACATGTTTTTAGGAGACTTTGGGAACAAGCTGGACACAAGGAGGCTCACGCAGACACTGGGAGCAGCGGGGGAGAAGGGTCATGCAACCAAACAGGAATGGTGGGACAAAAGGAAGGACTGTGGACGTGTCTCTCAAGGAGCGGGATGCCCTGAAGCTTTGGTGGACAATATCAGAGGGGATGTTGGAGTTGTGCAGGGCTTTTCTCTCTTTTTTTTTTTCCTTAAAGGGCTGGAGCTGGTGCAGACGGGGCAACCGTGGAGGGGCTGGGGGAGCAGAAAAAGGTTGGGGGGGTTGGGGGAGCAGGCAGGGAATGGGGCCTAGCAGGGGTGCTTCCATGGTCCCCTCCTCCCCAGCCCCCTATTCCCTGCCCCCTACTTACCAGCTCTGATTCCAGCTCCAGCTCCCTGCTGCAGTCACCGGGGACTGCCCAAATCATCAAAGCTCTCCAAATCTTTTCTGAAGATTTGGACCTTTTAATTGGTCTCCTGATTCGATTTGGATTCAGAGATTCGGCCCCCGAACCAAGCCGAATCTCCTCCAAATCGAATCACCACCTGAAGCTTCGCGCAGCCCTACTGCACACCATATTGAGTGCACAGGGCATGGCAAGATGGGATCTAGGTGGCACAAGGCAGCATCCATTTACTTGAGCCCTGATCAGGGTGGCATGTGGCCTGATCCAGGCAGTGTGAAGCCAGATCTGGGCAGAGCAGAGCTGGATTTGGTTACATGGGGCCCAATGCAGCTGGTGCAAGGCAGGGTCTGAGAGTGTAGGACCGGGTCTGGGCAGCACAAAGCCAGATTTGAGTGTATGGGGACAAACCCCATGCACCAACCTTATGTGATCCAGCCCACATACCAGCCACTCATCCATCCCACAGAGCTAAAAGATTGAGCATCACTGATCTAGCCTCTCTGAGATGAGGTGACTTTGGCTTCCCTTGCCCTTTCAGAAACCTGATCTGAAATCACTCAAAATATATAACCCCTTTTCCTTCAACTATAATCTCCATGGGTTAAATTGCCTGGAGTCTGAGGGCTGGGAGCTCCAGGCTTGGTGGGACTTGTTCAGTGGCTAGGACTGCAGTTCTCTGTATCTCTTTAGTCCTTTTTTGTTCTAAGATTGTCTCAAGGTGCCAGAATTATGCCAGTCCCAAACACACACCCCAACCCACCCGTGTAGGAGAGAAGCAACGAGGTCTCGTATTCCCCACACTCTCCTTCATCTGCTTGCTGCAAAACAGACCCCATGTGGCTGCTTAGATTAATCACAAGCCTGGGTGCCCCAGGGAGGCCTGGCCCTGCTTTTCTATTTAGAGCTAGTAATCTAAATTCCAGCTCCCCAGCCAGGATCTTTCTTCCTACTGACGCAGGACTCTGCAAAAGCCAAATGTATTTTATTTAAAAAATCACATAGCCTGTTTTAAATTCTCAGCCCCCTTTTCCTTTCCTTGATTTGCATCTGCAAGGTTTATTAGGCTGGGCAAGAGCCAGGCCTTGGCTGTTCAGGACCCTATTGGAAATCAGATATGTATGGGCCATCCCTTTGTGGCCACCTACCCCAGGCTGCTTTTATGGCAGATTGAATGGGAGAGCAGGGACAGTACTGGATTCCTAGAGTCTTCTGTGCCTCAGTTTCACCATCTGTAAAATGGAGCTAATGAGACGGGCTTCCTTTGTAAAGTGTGTCGATTGCTACTCATGAAAAGCACTGTGAAGAAGCTAGGGATTATTATTACGAAACTGTATAAGTAGGATAAACTTGGTTAAGGGCCACCAATATGCATGAAAAGGTAATAAAGGAAGTAGTGTAGCTCAGTGGACAGAGAATGGACTAAAATTCAGAGGGCTTGCCTTCTTTTCCTAGTACAGCCACTGACCTAGGACAGGTCATTTGAACTGTTTCTATTGCCTTCCTTTGGCCGTCTGGTTCCTTCAGGCCACGAGCTCCCTAGGGAAAGGTGCCTCTTACTATGTGTTTGCACAGCACCTATCACACTGTGGCCTTGAGGTGCTCTTATGACAGAGCTGCTATGTCATCTTCATTGACTGGCTGGTTCTTGGGACAGTCCCTAAGAGTAGGACTCCGCCTGTGTGGGAAGGAGTTCTGTCTCAGTGACTAATTTGGAGAGGATGTAGAAGGGTGTGTGTATTTTATCTGTGCTTCCTGCCTTGGGGAGAAAGCAAAACTGTACCAGCAACACCAACAGCAGGAGCAAGCTGCCTTTCAACCCAGCTGCCACTGATAAACTGATGCACTTCTGTTGTTTAACTGGGCTTATGCCAATGGCATTATTTTGGGGACTTTTGGCAGTGATCATGAAAGTATCATGGAAAGGGGTTATGGAAAGTATCCTGATCCCTTCCTAAGAGGTTCTGAGCAGGCTCCTCCTGAAGGCCCAGAGAACACAGTATAGTTGGGTCAAGTGCTTTCTGGGGCTCTTTCTTTAATTGGCCCCCTGCACAGCAAAAAAGGAGATATAGGCAAGGTGTGTTGGAAAAAGCCTGAGGGGGGAAATATGGTAGAGATTTATCACATCATGAAGGGTGTGGACAAAGTGACCAGGGAGCTGTTATCCATGAAGTCCCAGACTGCTAGAATGAGGAGGCACCCGCTTAAATTAACAAAGTAAAGTACCTTTCTATGCAACACGTAGTTCATCTGTGGAATTCATTGCCACAGGAGGTGGTAAAAGTAGGTTAAAAACGGGACTAGGCAAATTCACGGATGGTAGCTCTATTAATAGCTGTTGAACAGAACAGTTCAAGATGTTTCTTCTGGCACCTCTAAGCCAATAATGCTAGATGCCAGGGATCATAATGAACAGGGGACAGATCATTTTAGGTATATCTGGTTCAGCAATCTCCCTCTAAAGCATCCACTCCAGCCACTGTTGGAGAAAGGATACTGGGCTATACGAACTATTGGTCTGACCCAGTATGGCATTTCTTATGTTCTTGTGGAAGTAGGATTTGCATTTGGACACTGCAGTGCTAAACAATAGTGTGAAATTCTGGGACCTAGTACAGCTTGGAAACTCCAGGTCATGATCCTATGAATCCAGTTGTGAAACTTCCAGTAAGTTTGGCAGTGGGGGTCAGTGTCTAAAGCCATCATTCCATAACACAGACTTGTCTCGTTACAATAAGCCTGTCAGCCTTGGTCCAAAGAGCAAGCACTGCTTGGAGCGGGAGACCTCCAGTAATGCTGCATGTGGGGCCGTGAAATCAGTGGTTGGCGCTGTTCTCTCCTCGCTCCTGACCCTGGGCAGCGCTAGGGGTTATGCTCATGGAGGTGACATGCTTTCAGAAAGACGCAACACTAGAGCCAGGTAGGATTTTAAGGAAGGCCAAACTCCTGTGGATAACTTGTAAATATAAGATTGTCATCATAGGCCCCTGTATATGTGACCAGCTGGCCCAACACTGGCACAGCCAACTCAGAAAGGCCTGGAAAGCATGCAGATATAGGCCCAGTACCCACCTTTCTCCTGGCATCTTTTATGACGATGACTAGTGTGTATGCTCATTGGCATCTTCTTTGATTGAATAAGTCGCTCTGGAGAAAGCAGAAGAGGGGCTGTCAGGATTCACTGAGCAGTTTGGGAAGTCAGGTTCAATAGAACATCCCACCATCCCCCCTTGGATTTATAAAACATCACATTTCCCCTTTTAATGCATATGAGGGGCAGGGGAGATTTATTCTCTGATATGTAGTATCCTAAACAGGGCTTTCATAACGGTGTGCTTGCTAGGATCACTTTGAGGCTGAAGGGACTGTTGGAATGGGATCCCACAATGGGTTTTGCTGCCATGTGAGGATTTGATCTGAGGTTTTTATTTTCCTTTTGAGACTGGGGACATGGACAGCTTCTGCAAACACCCCTTCAGTGAAACCCCTCTCCCTCTGCCACACGTCTATACACAAGCCCTGAACAGTTAACCTTGCAGGGTATCTGGCATGTGACCTTACATCTCTTGATGTCAATGGGAAGTCAGCCATTAGGTGCAGTGGGAGCCCAAATTCTCTGCAATATGGGGAGAGGGGAATTAGAGGAGTGTGAGAGCTTCTGCTCCAGGTGTAACAGGGCAGCCGGCCTGTGGCCCAGTCCTGCTGTCACTGGCTTCAACATGATCCAGGCTCTTACCTTGTTTACTGAACACCTAAGGACTTGACTCAGGCCTGTTTTATTTCAGTGTTATGTCAATGTAATTCCAGCAGAACTGGTGAATTGCAAATGTGGAGGCACCCCACAAAGGATCTAGACTTCCAGATGAGTCTCCCTCCTGCAAGACACTGAATGCTATAAGCTTCTGCTGGAGTCAGGACAAGGCCTGGGAGGAGGGGGTATGGTTAAAAAGGTAGAAGAGGGGTCTGGAAGCCACCTTCACCTTTCTGGTGCTGTGAAATTTTTGCAAAAAGTCACTCCACCTCGCACTGCCTCAGCTTCTCCCGCCTGCATCAACGCACTGAGAGTGCCTTTAAAATCATAAATAAAAAAAATAATACTTAACCTCCTTCCCAGGCATGCTATGAGCAAAAATGTTAGCAAGACTGTAAGATCTTCAGTTGAAAGGGGCTATGAAAGTGCAAAGTGTTATTCATATCCTTTACCTTGCTCATAATAGAGTATGCATTCATTCTGGGGAATTTCTGGATATAAACCAGACAGCTGCAGAATGACATTTCTTGAAAGCTCCTATGATTTATTTTGCACTCTTTAATTCCATTTTGTATTGAATACACATTTGTCACGGGGCTGTTGTTCAAATGGGCCTTTTAAGTCTAAAACAGGCCTCGGGATGAGACCCTCAGCCGGTGTAAACTGGCTTAATATCACTGAAGTAAGTTGCTGATTTACTCCAGAAGAGACTTGGATCCACATTTGAAATGGAAACTCCATGGCTTGCAGCATTTCAGTGTTAAAACCAAGCAGTTTTACGACAGATAACGACTCTCCGTGTAGTTAACCGTCTGGCCAGAGTTCTGTAGAATCTCTTTCAGCCACTGGGCGTCAGGTCCTGGAAATGATATTGTTTTTGCAGAAACTTGAATCTCTGGATAGGTTCCCTGGCTCTGCCTTTTCCATTTTGTTTTGAACACGTTCAGCTTTAGTGTCTGGGACTAGAAGCCGACAGAGCTGCTGCGGTTCATTCACATTGCACAGATTTTTGTGAAAACAAAAATAGCTTCGCGGATTTGGTAACTTTTTCTTCCCTGTTTTTTTTTTTTGCTGGAAAGAGGTGGAAACTTGCACTGAGAGCACAAGAGACCTGCTTTCAATGGTCAGCTATTGAGCTTAACCCTCTTACCACTTACCGCTGTACTATGCAATGGAGGAGCTATTTAATATCATACTCACAACCAATCCTTGTCAGAAAACAATTTGGGGGCGAGTCTACACCGTGATTTAGACACAAGGAAATAAGCCCCTATCCGCCTGCTGTGTGGAAATACCCTGTGTCTTGCAGTGTGCCGTACTTATCTTTCCAGGCTCCCTGTGAGATAGGGAGGTGCCACAGTGCCCATTTATATATGGGGAACTGAGGCAAAGAGAGAGACTTGCTACAGGGTTAAGTTAATAGAAAAAGGACTTGAACCCAGGTTTTCTAGGTGTTATGTTAGTACCCTAGCTACTGTCACCACACCACCCTTTTCTGATTTGTAAACCTTGAAATAAAAGGGGGCAATAAACCAGCTCAGGGGGCTGTTAAATGATCCTCACTTTAGCATAAACTGATCCTCATCTTAGCATCCTCACTTTAGGCACTCTCAGGGCCAGATCCTCAGTGAGCTTTATTCCATTGAGTAAAGGCACTCC